TATATGTGATTTGGCAGCATTATAAGCAGGGATGGCACCTCATATTTGGTCAACTCTGCTTAGTTTTTGAAAGACAAACGGACCTTAAACCGTGATCGTAATACTCTGCTAAAAATGCACAGCCACGTGTTATAAAAAATTGTAGCGTACAAGGCCAGCAGAATTGCATTGATCTGACAAAGGAGGGCTAGCTCAAGTAAATCTTCTAAAAACGACACATGTATTTGGGACATTGAGTCCAAACTTGCCGCTCCTAGCTGCGAAGCATTTTTTCAAAGGAGTTATGAACTTTTTATTACGCGCCGTTTAATATGGAAAAATAGCCTGCAGGTAAAAATCCGCTTGAAAAAAGGTGATGGGATATCGTGACATCAAACCAAGTTTTTTGAGGCTGATAGGAAGCAATACACAATTGCAGTGTTGTCTAAATATTGATACCGTGGTATTAGTAAGTCGACAAGCAAGTAATTTTAGCACCAAAGCTATAATACTGTCCAAAAAATTGATTCGCAGCCAGGGGCACTTTGGTCTCATTTTTCAAGCTGATTCAACTACAAATTTTTTAAATGATCAACTTTATATAGTGTTCCTTTTCTTTGTAAGTCCCCCTTAAGTCGCTGACTGCTCGATCAAATCATAAGCGACCAAATCAGAAGCAACGCGCCCTCAATCTGCGAATCCGATAACTTATGGAGCATTTATTTGCTAAAACTTTTATCACTGCAGCTTTGAGAAATGGAAAAAGGGTTACTTGAAACTCTCAAAAGTGCTAATAATTGTTTGCATTACGCTGCTCAAAAAAGTCCTTGCAGATGCTTGTTTATATGGTAAAACCTAGCAATACAAGGTAATTTTTAGTAGAATTCTCAGAAATTGAGAATTTTTACAGATCCATAAATAGCAATACCTACAAGTCCTTTGACACTTCAAAATGTGGTTCAGTGTTAAGTAAAAAGCAAAGAAGTTTAACGAATCACCTTCTACTGTTGCATAATGAAATGGATTGCCTTGGTCTCATTCCTTCGAATGGAATGTCACCTATTGATGAATGTTTCTTTAACGTAACGCTAGTAACACTAGTAATACTGGTAACAAGGGTGACACACGGGTATCATTGGTAACACTAATCCGATGGCATTAGTAACACTACTAACTATTGGTGCGATAAGGTGAGAATGACCCCTCCAGAGTGGAAGGGGTCACAGCGGTCGCAGCCCCTCTGGGTGAAGGGTGTTTTACTTGGTAGAGAAATTATAAAATATTGACGGAGGGGGGGGGAGGGGAGCCATGATGTTCTCTTATCATTTTTCCTAGTCAAAGTTTATAACTTTCAATTCCTTGCCATCACTGATTGTCTTTTTTCTGAAATGTGAACCGATGTTTTGCTGGATCAGCACACATTTATATTTCTGACCGGCATCTTGTTTTTTTACACTTCCTTTTCCCTTTTTTACATCACCCTGCCTGTTTTCAAAATTACCAGGGAAAAAGTGCTTGGTGAAGGGTGTGGGTAGTGAGTGATTTATGGATTTACGAGATTTTAGGAAAAAAGTCCGTAACTTCTGTAGACGAAAAGCTTGTACAAGGAGATAAACGCCATTGGAACCACCGCGTCCTCCGCTTTCAGAAAATATATACCTTGCCTGGGGTCCGTTGAAAGAAGTGCCTGATGAAGGGTGGGTGAGACTCTTATAGTGGGAGTTCTCAAGTAGACGTCGTTTTACAATGGTAAAAAAGCCTCCACCTGGGAAGCCCCATTATAAGAGTCTCACCAACCCTTTATCAGACAGCTTTTCTTAGCGGACCCCGAGCAAACAGTATACTAGGTTGTAACATAAGACTTGAGACACTCTAACTTCTTACGGCGATAAGTCATGCAGTTTACATTTTCAAAAGGGGTTCAGGGCACCGTTCGATAGAGCAAAGTAAGCTCTACAACGTGGTCTGCGAAAATCCGCTCTAGCCTTCGACTCACTTTAAGCTTGCATCCAAAATGTGAGTCGTACTGAAGGCTCAAAAAATCGCGAAAAATTCATATCTTTGTTTAATAAAATCCTACGAATCTTCAACTTGCTCACAAAAACTGCACACTACATCAAACACTCATATATATCGTTTGTGAATTTCTTCCTCATTTAAAAATCGAGAAAACGAAAAATTTCCAAGTTTTCACAAAAACGAAGCTAAGCTGTTTTCACTTGTGTAATTGTATACTACAATCCTTTAGAGGTATAACCTTAAATTTTTAGCTTTCCGTGAGCCCTAGTTTTCGAGAAATATTGATTTTAGCATGAAGCGCCCAAGTGGGGAGAGCTAAATTTTGGTAATTTTCGAAAACTGAGGCCTATGGAAAGCCGAAAAGCTACGGTTCTACTTCTAAGAAGGCATTGTAGTATACAAGTACATAAGTGAAAACAGCTTAGCTTCGTTTTCGTAAGAACTTGAAAGTTTTCGTTTTCTCGATTTCTGAATGAGGAAAAAATTCAGAAACGGTATATATGAGTGTTTGATGTATTGTGCAGTTTTTATGAGCAAGTTGAAGATTCGTAGGTTCTATTGAACGGAAATATAAATTTTTCGCGGTTTTCTGACAAGGGAAGGATACCAACTCAGATTCGCTTTTGGAGATGGAACACATATATTTGGAATCACTTGGAACGCTGATTCCCAATATGCTATTCTTAGCTGCTTAGCGTTATTCTGAACCAAGTTATGGGCTTGCTGTTGTGAGTGACTAACAAACTTCTGAATGTCGTAAGACGGTGTGTAGCTAGAAATCTGCTCAAAAAAGTGCTAGGATGTTGAACTTGCATCAGATTAATTTTTCCAATCTTGAAAGGGAGCATTATACAATTGCAAAAATACCTACACGTCGACACCGTAGCATCAGTAGGTCCAGGAGCACGCAAACTTTGCATAGAAAAGAGACCATAGCTCGCTTCAGAATAATGCTAAGCAGCTAGGAGCAGCATATTTGGAATCAGCGTTCTAAGCTGATTCCAAATATATATGTCTCATCTCAAAAGGCGAATCTAAGTTAGTATCCTTTCCTTGTGAAAGTTCAGTACGACTCACATTTTTGATGCAAACTCAAAGTGGGCTGAAGTTGGAGCGAACTTTTGCAGACCATCTTGTAGGCCTCTGCTTTGCTCTATCGAATGGTTCTCTAAACTTCTATTAAAAATGTGAACTGCATGACTTATCGACGTAAGAAGTAAGAGTGTCTCAAGACTTATGTTACAACCCAATATGCTCTGGAAGCAGAAGACGAGACGGTTCCGATGGTGATCATCTCGGCGTACAAGATGTTTATCTACAAAAGTTATGAATTTTTCCAATGCTGAAAACTCGAAAAACTCCAGAAATCACTAAGCACATCCTTCACCTAATCACTTTTTTGGACGAATCTCTGGCATGCTATATATTTTCTGAAAGCGAAGGACAAGGCGGTTCCGGCAATGATTGTTTCCTTGTACAAATTGTTCATCTAAAAAATTTATGAATTTTTTATGTTAAAAACTCATAAGTGTCCAGAAATCACTAAGCACACCTTTCACTACGTACTTCCCTGAAACCAGAAGGGAAGGTTGTACCACGGAACTTTCCTCGCTGACGTTGCTCTGCAGCTACAAAAGCTACTATTTTTTCCCTTCTGGAAGTTCGTAAATGCCTATAAATCTTTTTCCTCTTTCCGATACACAAACAATCAATTTCCTACAAATATCTCCTTTGCTTAACCTTACCTCACTGTTGATTTTTTTTGCTTCTGATGAAAGGGTCACCTTGGTCCTGGTTCAGGGGTGAAAGGAGGGGGGGGGGGGGGTGAGCAAATTCTCACATTGTCGCATCCACTCAGCTTCACCACAGCGCGAGTAGTCATTTGGTCTGTACTGCAAACAAGAAAGTAGCTCTGTTACGTTTCTCGTTGTAGCAGTGCTTTTCGAACAAGCAACTGATTCAGTCCAGTCCATGAGCCTCTCAAACCATAATTTGCAAATAAGTCGCTAGCCGTCATGGTAAAAGAGCTCAAAGACTGTTGTTTTTCTTAGAGTTCCTTCACACCACCACCACAGGACGCAGCAGCCTGCCGCAGCACGCTGCAGCACACCGCTTCCTGCGGCGTGCGCCGCTGAAGTTGCAGTGAAAGTATACGCTTACGGCAGCACAGCTTCGCCGGTTATGGAACAATATTAGTTTCTGAGATTATCTGCTATTTTTATCGATTTTTTCAATTTTTTTTGCAAATTTTGAGCTATGGGCTGAGAGTTGGCGCAGGGGGTAATCGAGCATGCTGATTACGAACGCACAATTGATTTCAAAGACATCCAATGCTTTCATCGATTTTCAGCAAAATTTAAGTTACGATCCTGGAAGTTGGCATAGGAGCGTAATCGAATGCTGATTACGAATACAATACTAGTTTTCAAAATTTTTACTTTTTCGATCTTGTCGATTTTTTGCAAAATTTGAGCTATAAGGCTGGGAGTTGGCACAGGGGTAATCGAGCATGTTGATTACGAATACAGTTTTTACAATTATCCGTTACTCCCTATCGATTTTATCAATCTTTTGCAAAGTTCGGGCTATGAGGCTGGGAATTGACACAGGGGGTAACTGAGCATGCTTATAACAACACAGTGGGAATAGCGAACTGGCATGTAGAAGTGTGCACAGGGAAAGGTTGTACAGGGATTGGCACTTTAACATAGTGTTTTGACAGGACCGGGCGGAGCCGGGTAAGCCAGCTAGTGTCATACTAAAGTTGTTATTCCAAGAATAGCGGAAGAAAATTTGCAGATGTAGACATCACAAGTTTTTTTATATCAATTTCCACTTGCACAAGTTTTTCCTTCTTCTTTTACGCAAAGCATAGTTATCGCAAAGTGTAGTATCCCTTGGCTTAGAGATTTTTGTTCGCAATTTTTTTGGATGCATTTGTTTCTACGTTTTCATCAACTTGTTTAGTATGTTTACAAAGTGTGAGTATCACTTTATTCCAGGGCTTCGGAAAACGAACAAGAAAAAATTGAAAATCAAGCTGAGAGTAGACACCGGAACAATGGAATTTATTCCCAGAGGTACAACGCTCTATGCAAAGATTTCAGAAGTGCTATTCCATGTTTGCGCAAGAAAAGCAGAAGTGTTTGAGCATAGTAAGCAGTTCTACTACGGGTTATCCTTTCAGTATTTTTTCAATTGAATATATTTCAGAAATAGAAGAAGACCACGAGCTGGTCGAAAAAATAGGGATTCCCACAGGCTTCGCAAATGATTCTACAGAGCGAGCTCGCCCATTTTTTCATATGCCTATCATGGTGCCCGTAAGAGGCACAAAAATGGATGCCAGTGTTCAAGAACTTCAGAAAGCCTGTGAAGTAAGTTTTTTGTTTTATTTGGTCATTCTTCCTTTTAAGGAAAGCCTGTGAGATAAGTGTTTTTTTGTTTGTGTTTCTTTCTCATTTGTTCTTTCCTTTAAGGACATTTTGAAGATAGTCCACTGCGCGAATGACTACAATTGGATTCAAATTACTGTTCCTTATTCCTCTCTGTCTTGCGTCTCGTGTCCCGCCCGCTCAAAACGCGGTATTATAGTACGAATTCGCTTTGTTCGACCTCCTTAGCGGCTGTAACCTTTGCTTTGCAAAGTATGCCGCCTGCCTGACCCTCTGAAAAAACATCTAAGAGATCCACAATTCAACTAAGCATACTTGATACATTAGACAACAAATCTCATATTCTTCCTTTTTCTAGAAATGGAGAAAGAGTGATTGAGATGAATGGCAAGTTCCGCCCTTAAAGGTTTTAGGTCCCTCCCACAAGCGATTATAACTGTTTCCTTAAATGCAGCGTTCAGGCAAATCTGGACGTATGGGGCCCTCACGTGGATCGTAATTTTGGGGCCCTAACCAAGCCACTGCCCAACCGGCAGCTCCGGTACTGCTCTAACGGGTGAGATATTCCCCTCGAAACTGGACCCCGCGATCGTACTTCGCATGAATTCACGGCGCAAAGCGTGGATCCTGGCGCAAAACTGCCATGAATCGTGCGAATACGGTCGCGGGGTCCAGTTTCGAGGGGAATATCTCAGCCTTCAGTGCATTACCTGCGCTGCCGCTTGGACAGTGCCTTAGTTAGGGCCCCAAAAGTACTTTCCATGTAAAAACCCCATAGGTCCAGATCTGTCTGGCCTTTAAAGGCAGCGTACACCCAAAATCCGAATTACAAGTTTTCTATACGTTGTATATGTAGGGCCCAGAAGACGACCAACTGCGTTGGTCCGGTCTCCCAATGTTGTTTCTAAACGTAGGAAACTCGCATAATTCTCCTTATGCTCTGCCCCTTTCTTTGCGGTCCGCCTCCTTTGGACAAATTCACGACAGCGTAAGCTGCAGTTGCAGTTGCAGTTGCAACCACAGTTGCAACTGTGCAGTTGCTTTTTGCGGTCCGCCTCCTTCGGACGACGAATCCACGACACCATATGTTGCAACTGCACCCGTTATGAAGTTCCAGCTGCTCCTCGCTGGGCATGTCGACGGGGTCGAGCAATTCAAAACTCGTTGTCAATCTGAAAAGAGGGTCCCCGGGAATCTGTCCTGGGGGGGGGGGGGGAGGGGTCGAAGTATTTTAACGTCATAATTGTGATCAGGGGCAGGAAAGGGCACAGAATGGCAAGAACATCGGAGGCGAAATTTTGGGAGTACCACGACTATGTATTTGTATCGAAAGAAATGGGATGGCCTATCTATAGTAGTAAACGCCTGTTGTATTTCACATTTTTCCAAAAGTGAAGACTTGTGTAAAATTATTCCAAAAATTGCTACAAGCAGCTGTAGGTGCCAGAAGAATGCTTTGCATCGCACTCTGATAGCGCTATCCAACTGCCTTCAAGACTTTTCCAGAAGCTCAAAAATTGTTAAATTCAGACCAGTAACTACAGGTATCGATTGGCGATTTTAGTATCCACAATAGTGAACACCAAAACGTAATATTGAAAAGAAGAAGAGTAAGAAAAGCTGCGTTGAGTAGTCTTTGACGAGCTTTCCATCCAACCTATACGTTTTTTTGACAATTCAGAAATACGAACAGAACTTTCAGGACCTTGATATACAGGGTGTCCCAAAAAGATGTGCACACCGTTTGATCGTTAACAGCTCTCTTGCTTTCATGTCTTTTGCTGAGCTCGAGGCACCATTCTGTAGAGCGAAATTCAACTTAGATTTACAGTATGAAGCGAATTATCAATCGCTCTTCATTACTGTAAAAAATACGATAGGAACTCCGAGAAGGATTTGAGAGCCATTGAAAGCGGTATTTTGCCTCAAAAACAAAGGCAACCATGTCAGAAACTCTAGAACTGAGCTAATCGAAGTCGCTGGTTCTAAATATGAAATTTGCACTTCAGTAAAGTGCTTCTTTCATAAGTTATTTCAGATTTAAAGTAACAACAGTTTTTCAAGTGTTAGTCAGAAATGTGAATGCACCATCAAGAAAACACGAAAAACTCATGAAAACTCATGTGGTAAAATCAGCACGCTTGAAAACCTTGCCACACAAATTTTAAGATTTTTTAAAATTTTTGTCAAAAGCCCATTCCACAGTGACGCTGTATGCTGCAAGTTCATACGTAATCCTACAGCAATGAAGGATTAGTGATTCGCTCCATACTGTTTGTCTAAGTGGACCTCGCTCTACAGAATGGCACTTCACGCTTGGCAAAAGACATGAAAGAAAGAGAGTTATTAACGATTAAACAATGTGCACATCTTTTTGGGACACTCTGTATATAACTCAAAACAATTTTTTTTGATGTGCGTCATAACGCTCGCGGCTAAACCGAATGAGCTAAAACTGTGCATACATTTCAACTTCTGCGTAGATTATAGGCAACTTTTATGTGGGCTATTCTATGATTCAAGGAGTTTTAGCAATTCGCATTGAAAATAAAATGTAACATTTGTGGCTCCCCTACCTCCCCAGTTTTGTGTAAAGAATAGCAATAAAGCTCGTTTTTATATCGCGGTAAGTGGTAATTCAAGGCCGAATCATGCGCAGTGAAGCTGACGCTGTAGAAGCTCTTGCAGCCAAGGATGGCCTAAAGCAACTAAGGGTAGCATAGCGCACTGTGTAGAACGATTGATACGCCAGCCATGAAAGTGGAGGTATGCGAATCCGTTCATGTTAGGCATTGCTTTCGCTTCCTGCCCTTGCAATTAACACGACAGCCCGTGCAGGACCAGGGATGTGCTAGTATTATAATAGCCGCAACAATGACAGGACTAATGCGGGCCACATCTAACTTTGCTCTTAGGTAGAATCGATTTTCCTTTATGCAAATTCTGGGCCTGTAGTAAACCCCACGGACGTCGTGACGTATAGCTCAGAGTATGTTGATGTGCTGACTATCATGGAGCGAGGCTGGCAAAGCGGCTATCCTTTATCATTGCCGGCGGATGCAATCGATGCGTAGCGTCAGGGTAGTCGCACTTTGTCGCGATATGTCGCGACATATCGCGACATATAGCGACATATTGCGACATGTTGTGACGAACAAAACGGCGAAATACTTTGTCCATCATAGAGACGCAGAGACATAGCGCAAGACTAGAGCTCGACTACGCCAACCTCGCAATAGGTCGCACATGCACACAGTTCTCTATAACGCACGTCAACCGCAATCAATATCAATATCAACAGCTGATAAGCGTCTAACTGTTCGAGCAATGCGCCTCTCCCTATTCTCCGAGTACTTCTGCTGCTGCCGCTTTGGTATTTGAAAAAAGGTGAGTTTATTTTAACTGAAAAGTATGTTAGACTCATACTTAGCCATATTTTTCGTACTTATGCAGTTTTTCTTCTTTATTTTTGCTATGCACCTTGTTTGAGCAAAAAGTCCCTTCTTTGTGCCAAACTTTCGCAAATTCGACCTTTTCATCATTCTTGGCAGTTTTGACCACATATCTTTGCTGGTTGCTGTTCGTTAGCCATGTACCTCTCGTTTCCTTTCTTTTTTATGAGAGAGGACCGTCTGGCGTTATGGCTAATGGAATAGCCCATTTTTACGGACTGAATGCTGATGATAATATTTTGATTTTTCTTATACACTTTCATTATGTATTCTACTTTAAATTCCATTTTCTTCCAAATAGAAAATTCTAATTTACGTTCCTTTGCAAAATTCAGTTTGCCAGCAAAAAAGATAGTGTCGCCTGGAACTTGTACCCCCAACGTCTAGCACACCGGCCTCTCACACTGGCACTGCGCTAACCACAAGCTATGTTGAGTTATTGAGCTGTTTCACAATAATTGCAAAAGTAGTAGCTAACTCTTCAACAATACTTACGGATAAGGCATGCATATCGTTTTCCCATACTGATTTGCTGCGACTGCTCTATGTGCTACATGTATCCTCTCCCTAGCAAAGCACGGCGTAGTAGCATACAGCGCAGCGAATGTGCGCGCTGCTAGACCATCTGTGTCGTGGCACGGAGCTGGCACGAATCTGGCACGGGCTGACACGCTCAATTTTTATTGAGGGCAACAGTCAAATATGGTCCTGCCATAGCGGATAATGGCGCTTCTTACAGCATGGTGTACAAAGATAAGCATAATTCTGCAACAGACATAGATCAACTGCGTTTTCTTATCAATATTGATGAACATGAGATAATGAGTCAAAATATGGAGAAAGAGGCGCGCACACGCGAGGATAGTTAGTTAGTGGATTTCCTTTGATTGATTTACCTGCTCTGGCAAGCATAGTATACTACATTCTTGCCTTGCTAAGCAAATACCCCACGGCATATCTGTACTCATAGCGCAGCGCGTGTGACCGCTGTTATCGCGGTCATCAGCGGTTCAATGACGCGCGGAGGCGCTCGTTTTGCGGTGCCCTGCGGATAGCTCGCTATAGTCTTGCGAGATACTCCGAGCTATCACGACATAGTCCCTCTATGTTGTGACAACCACGAGGGGTTTACTACGGGTCCTGGCTCTTGACAAAACGGTTTATTTATTGCGCTGACTATTCTAGTTGAATTCATCTGAGGTAATGCATAATGCATCTGTGTGTTTCCTATTTAAATTGTCAATCGCAATCTTGAAGACAGCATCTAAAAAAGCTTTCTTAGCCCACCAACACTTTGTGAAGTAATCCTTAAATGCTCAATCACTACGCAATTGAAAGATGTAAAGAGTTTTGCGAAAATGTTTTTCTGATTGCCTGGGTGCAAGAAAACTATACAGGAGACTTCTGAGATATGGTTAGCAGAGCAAAGAATGCAGACAAATCTTACAAAAAATTAGTTTGTTCTGACTTTTCATTTTCACTTTGGCCTAGCATAGGCTTTGGCAAAAGAATGACACCCAACAGACCCTCTTAACAAAAGTTTTGGTTTTGCGTACAAAAATTTTAGGACTCCGTTTAGGAAGTTTACGCTATTTTGCCCTAAAGTAAACTAGTTTTATAGTGGACGAAAATGCTGCCCAACCATACAAGCGTTTCCGTTTCTCCGGCCTTGGGAAAATTAGTTGTGTTTTTTTGTGAATGCGAGCTTAGAGACTTTATAAAAAGTTATAATCTCAGAAAATATTCTGAATTTTGCAACAGTTTTCGTAAAAAAAATTTTTATGTAGAATTTCTTTACAACTCATTTATCCCACTCTGTACGGCGCCATTCGTATAAGTTCGAAAAATGGATTTCTACGTCTGTGAATTTAGCAGTCACAAGGTTTCACACATTATTAGCACTCTTTTTATGTTAGCATGAAGCATGAACGACTTACGCGATTTTTCAAGGGTATGTAGTGAACACATATTATGCTTGAACTAACTTCCTTCAACGCCTTTTTCGAGTTCACTCGCTATACAGTGTAAATACGAATGCATTACTCTCGTTTCTTTAGGTACTTCCAAATGGTTACGTCGCTTCTCTCAGAGATTTTCGTGATCCTGGCGAATTTGCTGCACTTCGAGCAGAGGTTTGTGATGTTTAAAAAGCTAAAATCTGCGTCAACTGGTTTACATCGTCCAGCATGAACAATTTGCACAGTCATTTGCATCTCGCATTGCTCTGAGAGTTACAAAAATGAACCATGTTTCAGTTTCCCTCAGGACTCTACAGAACTACTATTGCCTTTCTTCCAAACGCGTCATATGCGAAAAAGCCTACATGCAAAGGAAACAAAAGATTCAAGGGAATGAGAATAAAATATATGTACTATGGTCCGGATAACTCATCGGTAGGTTTTTTTTTTACAAAAGCACATATGCAAGTATTAGAATAATAGGACAGCTTGGTTTTTTGGACATTTTGGTTATTTTTTCTGGTTTTTAATGATCAAGCAGCAACTTAAACGTCAGTTACATAAGTAAGCTTTATCTATCATTCTAGCAACATGCGTTTTCTCTCGTGAATGTGGACCGAGCTTTTTAGACATATTTTATAGCTGCAAAGCATTACAGCATAATTGCCAGTGTGCGAGGTGTTTTGTTTTTTGTATAGAGAAGCAAAAAACTCGAAGAAGTTTTTAGCGCAATAACCCAAAAGACAGAGGAAACCTAGCAAACTGCACTAGAAATTGCAAGTTCACATGCAAAGAAATAATAACGAGTGTTCTTACTCAGATGGTTTTGATGACAGTCCACTTTCACAGTGCAGCAAGATATTTTGGGTGATGCCAACGTGTTCTGCGAGAATAGTGCTCAAAGTTCATGGTTTTTCGAAATGATTAAGTTTGCGTTTAACGGCTCTGCTGCACAGGCAGACGGCCTAATGTAGGTTTCGCTTGAACAAAACTAATATGCTTTAGTGGCGTACCGAGCTCCCCCCCCCCTGAGAATGGGTCGCGAAATTTTTGAAAGTTACTTAAATGTGTTATAAAAAATGTGCAAGCGACTTATTTTTACTTGTAAATAACTGAAATAATATTTAAAAGTACAAATTAGCCTTGTAAAATTTTTCTTCGCAGCGACAGCCACGCCTGCTTTTTCTGAAATCTCGGGGTTAGATTCCCGAAAAAATTTTGGGAAGCATTCCAAAAAAATTTTCGGAATGCGTGGCTGACGCTACGCACCATCATCAGAAAAAATTTTTTGTCTCTCTCCCCCCCCCCCCGAACCGTACGCCACTGATATGTTCTGATAAGTATCAAACTTTGATTTTCTAATGAATTTTCTTTCTTGAGAAAGCTGCAATCATTGTCGAAATGTCCCATTACGTTCCGGGCAATATTGCCCATCAGTGGCGATTCAAGAAGTTTTTGTCATGAAAGCGGAGAGGTGAAGAGGAGAATAAAACAAAACTTGCAAATGCTGATGTCGTGCCCTTCAGAACAACTTATAAAATGACTACCAGACTTCAGCAGCTGTGGCGCCAATGTGTAAAAGGAGAACTTGGCAATCACTCTTGTAAAAAAAATTTCAACAAGGCTAATTTGAACTTTCAACGAAAATTTTTTTGACATTTTTGTGAGAACATTTTACTTCCCACTTTATAGTCCATGCAACCATCCAATGGGTACATCAAAATACCTCAAGAAGGAGTAGACACAAAGATGGTCAGAAGTCGAAGCGACCAATCCAATTGCTTACCACTAGATCAGCATCAAATGCTGGCTTCAAATTTGTTTTCCGTATCTGCTATACCCTTTTGTGGATGTTATGAGCCATCAAATGTCAATATTTTTTGCTAGGAAATCCTGCGTGCAAACTGTGAAGAGCAAACTTGGCCGTGCAGAGCCAAGTTTTTGAATGCTAGGTTAAAACATGCAGCGCTACTTTACTTCATATAGCCTACTAGTTGACTTACCCGGCTCCGCCCGGCCCTGTCATTATTATATTCGTAATCAGCATGCTTGATTACCACCTGTGCCAACTCTCAGCCCCGCAGGGCAAACTTTACAAAAAATGATAAAATCAATATCAACTGATAATGAAAAGTAGCCTATGACACCCGCCGGGGCCCGAAGTGTACGTGTGCCAAGTTTGGTCCGGATCGGTTCAGAAATGGAATTTTCTATTCTGAACATACGTACACACAGACAGACAGACAGACAGACAGACAGACAGACAGACAGACAGACAGACAGACATACATACATACAGACAAACAGACATTCAGCTTTATATATAAGATAGCTGAGAGTGAGCTAAAAGAATAGTAATGTGCTCAATCTCGCGATTTTTAAATGCGCTTTTCGAAATAAAGTGCTCATAATTGCCTACAAAGCCGTTCAGCAGATACGGAAGACAGATTTGAAGTCAGCATTGTATGCTGCATCCAACGATAGCTGCTTGTTCGAATTTATTACTTCGACATCTGACCATTCTCTTGTCAGTGTTCGTGTTTCTCGAGGTAGGAAGCCAACACTGGTCTGCTCAAGGCACCGCTACTGCAAGTGAGGTGTGATGTAGTGCGATGGTTTTAAAGATAATGCAATTGTGATAATCCTCTCTTGCCTGCATATGCTAACTCCACAAAGCTCTTTTTACTTTTTTCATCCTCGATTCGAAAGCATACCATTGCTCTTCGGAACTAACGAAAAGGCTCGATGGATGAGCATTTCTGCATTGAGAAAAGCAGAATTCCATGTTATAGAGGGGCCGTTGCGGAATGCCGCTGCGGAGTTTGTATTACTGAAGATTTTGCTCCTTTCGCCGCAGAGAGTTTTTATACATATGAGCCTAAGTCATCTATATAAATATTTTCAAGCATTTTGTCGTAGAGTGATTTTACCATTAAGTTTTAGGTGCTTGTACTATTCCTCGTGTCCTGAAACCAAAATACGAAGAAAATTACAGCACATTTGTTTTGTAGGCTCTTGCGCTTTCATTCTTGTTCGCCTTTCTTTGAGAGGCGGTTGATCTGAAATTGCGTACACCATTGAAAATAGCTGTTACACTCTTCTTAACAAACTCATTGGTTTTGGTTCAATAAGCACGTTATTGGCACCATCCACCCAAATTCTCGACTTCCATGTTTCTGCCGTTCCAGAGCCTTCTCGTTTCGCTGATTCCGAATATCAGTCGAGAATCCGCAAAAGCGAGTTCTCTGGAACGGTGATTGGTTGAGTGCGCACGGATGGGCTGTAACGTCACGCCCACTTGATGGGTGAGGAGCCAACGTGGCGAGTCCGCCATCTGAGTATTTCACGAAGCAATTTTCTTGCTTCAGAAGCAACTTTTAGGAGCTCGAGTTGGGCAAATATACAGTTGGGGCCCCCCTCTCCCACTATTAGTGACCCCGTTTTAAGCGGACGGTGCCTTTAAGGTGAATTTTTCTGCATAACAAGAGATGGCTTCGTACGGCAAACGTTGTCAAAACTGTCTTGCAAAATTGGACTGGAAGATACCTTAATATCCACTGTGACCACTTGTTCCGCTCTCTTACAAACCATTTAAACGGTGCTTGTTTCAGTTCGGATGAACTAAAGCGTTGGTTAGTCGTCTTTTCTGTGACCAGAGCCGCTAAGCTTCGAAAAACGAAGTTGAAAATTTGATAGCAAGATAGCAAAAGGTTGCGCACTTTAACCGCTTTATCTACTGAAATTAGATAACATGCGATTGCGTTGTCTTACGAAAATGCTATGAACTTATGAAGCCTAACATGAGACAACTTTATAAAACTTTTTAGCTAATAGGTACAAGCTACAAGGGTACATTTGTTTGAGTCATGACGAGTGCTGCTTACGTTTCAAACCAAAATTACACTTTCTTCCATTTTTCGAGCAGTCGCACTTATTTCTAAGTACGGCTTGATAGGCGGCTTTCTCTTCTAGACGCTATCTGGCCAAAAAAATTTACAAATTTGAAAAAAAAAAACGTTTAGGAGAAATGAAACTTTCCGTTGTATGCTTGTCTCATCTTTTCACTTAATCTTTTTTCTCAAAGTAGTAGCGAAACGAAAGGTATCAAGTGCGGGTTTCGATGCACAAGCACAGCTCGCTTGGCTTTTCAAATTTCTTCACTAACATATTAGATTGTTGTGCCGAAAGTTCTGTTGCTTCAAATGAGAAATTCTTAACTGCTTCCTATGTAAACTTGTTTGCTCCAGTAAACATCACCAGTTAGAAATAATCATCTCTTTCAACAACATCTTCTCGGCCCTTAAGCGAAAGAGATTCCAAAGACAAAAATTAAATTAAAAGATACCCAAGCTTTTGATCTCCTAAAGTGAGTAGCAAAAATCTCGGTACTTTTCCGTTATCCGGACCCATTTTTTCAAACAAGGATATTGCTTCTTTCCTTGTACTAGATTTGGTCTTTATAAAATTGCTTAGCTATTAGGTACAAGGTACAAGGCTACATTTGTTTGAGTCATGACGAGTGCTGCTTACGTTTCAAACCAAAATTACACTTTCTTCCATTTTTCGAGCAGTCGCACTTACTTTCAAGTAGAATTGCTGCAAAAGCCTTCTGCCACGTGTCAAAAAAAAATTTGACATGTATGTACATGTTTAGCAGGTTTTATTACGAGTTTGTGTTGCCCTACCTAGTGACGTTAATTCGGTTGTTTTTCAGCCGATAATGACACCAATTTCAATTAAACAACTTCATAAATGGACACTATTATGATAAGAACGTTATGCTATTTTCAATGAACAGATTGGGCTTGCCTAGAATAGAGGATTGCGCCAGATTTCCATCGTCTAAGCGACAAAACAATCAGTAGCGAGGTACTTCAAGCCATCAATTATAGCCTATCCTGGCTAAATTCGCATGGCAGACAGAGTTTGAAAAGAAAGACGTTTTTTGAATCATTGCTGAAAGCAACAAGATGTTCTAATATGGGTTCCAAATTGATTTCTTTTTATAGAAGACAACTAAACAGCTTTTACAATACCGCTCACAGAATGTGCAAAATTTCCGTAAATGTCGCGGAATTCCGAGAATTCCGCGAAGGTTCGCGAATTCCGGGAATTTTGCGACATTCCCGGAATTTCGCGACATTCCCGAAATTTCGCGAAATTCATGTAAATCACGCAAATTACGCAGGGCCATAACTTCGTTCCGAATGAGTATATTCAAAATCCGAAAACAGCATTGTATTCAGCTCGTCAAGGCGAATCTTTTGGTGTACAGGTTGTCTCCAATATCCTCTTTTCAATAATCTTGAATCTGCATGCGGACGCTTTTTCGCGTGGGTGTAACGCAACAAGCATCACACATAGGAGACTGCGGTGGGCACCCTTCGATAGTACTCCTTTAGTAGATTATTCTGCGCTAAACAGCAGTCGAAGAC